AAGACTCTCCCTGCCCCAGCCATATTGCTTTTGTCTCTCCTTTGTTCAGAGACAGCCCGGCAGATCTATTCCCCTAATAAAGGCTTGTTGTGGCCTGGTCTGGTCTTGGTCTTCGGCCCTTTTACCTGACAGTGAGTATGGGGTATCCTTTTAGGTTTTAGGTACAAAATGAGACCCTATCTCAAAAAAACAAAAAAGAGAAACATATGTACCACTCCCATTTATGGGTTGGGACCCTGGTATCTAGTAGTTCTTTGTTTTTTTACCTGTAATGCTGCTACTAAATGGACTTTCCCCCTAGAGTCCTTAGTACTCTTCTGCTTTTGCTCTGTCACTGCTGCACACATTAATGTATTTTGTAATCCATAATTTTTATTGTCAATGATGTTGTCTGTATTGTTGACTACCTTGTATAGAGTTTTCTCTTTACTAACAGAAGACCTAGAGGAAAGAACAAACCCATTTGTGTATTTTTCTTGGTTCTTCCCTTCTCTTCCTCCATGACTAGCCCTGTACCAAATCCTTGCCATATCTGACTAGAAGGCTGTCCTCAACTTGAGGCAACTTAGTGGGCCACCACTATTTCCCTAGCCTGTCATACCTCCAGAAGTGCTGACTCTTTTAATAGGCCTCAGATGGGACCACAGTGGTAGGTTTTCTCCTAAGACACCAGGGAGCTCTTCCTTTGATTCAGATAGCAACTATGGATATCTCAGACCCTGGATTGCTTTTTATTTTATTGTACTGGGAACTGAACTCAGGACCTTGCACTTGCCAGGCAAGCGTGGCACCACTGAGCTACATCCTTAGTCCTGGATTGCTTTTAATCACAGCTAAAAATCTATCTAATTTAGGTCCTTTTGTACAGATGACGATTTTCAGGCAGTTTATTCTCTTAAGCACAGAGACTTTGCAAGTGCTAGAAAGAGAGTTTGTCTTCCCTGTTTCAAACCATAAAGACTTCAATACTCTGATTTCCTATGAGGGAGAAGCTGAGCTGGACCTAGATGTAACATGGTCCCAAAGACTTGACTCAGAAACAGTTTCAATTAAGTGTTCTTAAGTCACCTTCTGTTTATGTCTCAAGTCTACAAAAAAAATGTGTGGGTTTCATGCCCTTTAATTATTTGGGGAAAAAAACTTCCATAGAAATATAAGATACATATTTTATGAGCAACTTGGGGTTTTTTAATATGTAAATCCTACTAAAGACTATGGTTTATTTTTTGTGTACTGCTGGATTGCATAACATACAGAAAACTCTCTGGCGTTTTACTTCACAAGAAAACAAGAGACAATGTGATTCTAGAAGTAGCAGAGGAAGTAGGGATACATTAAATCAGTCGAGCTAAGGCCACGTAACTTCAGAGGTGAACAGCAAAAGATCTGAGGGCTGCACCTCCAAGGGATGAAACGACTCAGCCTCCTGCCTACTACTCTCCCACCACAAGATGGCAGGATTCCCCTTGCCCGAAATCTTCCATAAAAGGATAAGTGATTTCCAGAGTGTGTATCTTCTTTTGTGCTTAATAATGGTGTCAGACTGTCTTGTGTATGACATCATCTATGTTTCTAGGAACTGATTAAGCTCTAGACCTCATTTGAAATATTAACCAACAAAACAGCTTTATGGTACCTTTGCAAAGTAACCAGTCCCTATCTCTATTTGCTTCATGAACCAATAGTATGGACAGGAAGGGAGGGGGGAAAAGGAGAGAGAATAGAAGGGAAAAAAAGGAAACAAAGCTATTGGAAGCTTTGAAGGGAGGGGAGGGTAATGGGGAAAAAAACAGAAGCAGCACGATATATCATGTACAGGTACAAATTCTCTATGATGAATCTTATCATTATGTGTATCTAAAATATACCAATAAAATTTT